TTGAGGCCAGAACTGTGTATACTGAGGTGGCTGATAAGTCAGCGCAGGAGGGTATGACATCTGTTGCGACTGATATGGTGACATGTATTGTGGTGGCCCTTCTTGGCTGTAGGAAGTGTCACTTTGGGCTTGTTGAGCCGGCGGCCGATTAGGACAATTCCTCCTAATATGGCCCACCTGCCCACAATGGTGACACTTGGGCCCGTATGGAGCATTTCTGTCACTCCCAAACGAACTACTGCCACCGCTTGCCATTTCCCCAACCATATGTCCCTGGTTGCGGTTTCTTCTACCACTCCGCTGTGGTCCACCTGAAACAGAAGGTCTACCAGAGACGGAAACTCGACCCGCCTCTTCTTCTTTGCTTTGGCGATAGGCCAAGTTATCCTGTTCCACTCTTGTAGCAGCAGCTACCAAATCCCGAAAGTTTCGAAGTCTCAGAGCCACCAAGGATCTCCTCACAGAGTTCTTGAGGCCCTTCTCAAACTTAAGACATCTCATGTGTTCAGACTCCACCAGAGATGGCGCAAACCGGGACAAGTCATTAAACTTAGCCTCATATTGCCTCACCGACATGTCACCTTGCTGCAGCGACATGAATTTCAGTACTTTTTCTTCCCTGTAACTCTGAGGAAAATACTGGTCATTGAACAGCGTCTCAAACTGCTCCCAGGTCAATCCTACGACATTCATTCTCCTCTTGACCTGCTTCCACCAAGTGTTTGCTAACCCTTCCATCTTGTACACCGCAAACTCTACCCTGTATTCATCTGGAACTCCCATAGTACTCAAATGCTTAACTATGCAGTCAATCCAGAACTCCGCCTCCTGGGGTCCTCCCTCACTATTAAACGAGGGGATAGGCGCACGCCTAAATTCCCGGAAGTGCCCTTGCTTCCTATCCTCAACCGGCCGCTCATTTCGAGCTCTTGTGGCCATGCCTTGAAAGGCAACATACATGGCATCCAGAAATCCTTGATTCTGTTGTGCCGGTTGATTAGCAGGCCTACGGCGAGGCGCCATTTCCTTTAACTGAAATAAAACTAGACTATTCAGTGGATTACAAATGTCACACATGTATGTACAATCCTGGGGTTCTTAACCTAGGGCTCTGATACCACTCTGTCACGCCCCCCAAACGGGGTGGGTGACGTGGAGCTCGATTAGGGATTAATAAAACAGATTTTCAGACCGGGCCCCACACTTAACTGCATTAAAACATAAATGAATTAAATAATCCAGGAGCCTCTGCACACAGGGCTCCACCCCACAGGACATACAGTATCGTACATACATGCTCATGTAATTAATCATTACAACAGACATCAACCAAAGTTTTGGTAAATCCAAATATTCATAAGTTACATAATTTCTCAAATTCCTATGTTCACGATCCTCACTTGATTCCAACAGCAGCACAACTCAGCTGCTCCGTAGCAAATATCCAGCTACTGTGCACTGCTCCTAGAATCTCCTGGAAGGGGTTTAACATTTAAAACATAAAACGTGAGCGAAAGGCCCAGTAGGATATAATTTGAAATATTTAAAATAAATGAGC